CGGGTACCCATTCCCACCTGGGTAAAGTGAGGAAAATTCGTGTAAAGCGCCTTTCCTTAGGACACAACGTCGGTTCCCTGACGGGATTCGAACCCACGCCCTTACGGTTGCGAGTCCGAGAGCCTAACCACTAGGCCACCGACGCCACGTTCGACAGACTAGAAGTTATAAGGAGCAGAGCTACCAAAAGTGGAATGGAAGTGAGACATGCTTTCATGGGATATTTCTCGTCACCGCAGGGTGCATTGCCATGGCAAAACAGCAAATGCTATAAGTTGTGATAACGTCTGATCAGTCCACACTCTCATTAAAAAAAGGTTGTCATTGCATCTCTTTTAATAAGCTAAAGTAGGCCTATAGTTTGAAACAAGTATACAAGTTGTACAGTGTAGCCTACGTTCAGACAAACAGACGCACAGCCAGACAGACAGCCAGACAGCCAGACAGACAGACAGACGTAAAGAAAGAAAGAAAGAAAGAAAGAAAGAAAGAGAAAGAAGTATAAATAAAGTTATTTCCATTGCATCCAACTTCGTTGGCTACTTTCTTCCATTCAGCCGATATCATGGACCTGTTGCAGTAGAATCTAATTTGGATCTGCTTTGTCATAAAGACATCTTTTTTCAAAGTCAGAATGCAACAATTCACTATGACTAAACTCTACACGCACTACACAATCACGCCACAACAGTTCAGCCGCACCGCAGACGCTCGAAGTTTTATTTCAGCAGCAAGTGCACACGCTGAACTGTTTCTGCTCCGTTCAGCGCTGCGTCTGCTCCGCGCCTACTGCAGCGCCGTCCATTCAATCCTTCGTTTAATAAAATTTGGCGAAGCAACTTTTTCGGAGAGAGACGTAGCAGAGACACTAGACGTAGCAAGCAACTGAAAAAGCGTCGGAGAAGCGTGCACTGTGTTTGAGGCCTTAGTCGCCTTCTACGACATGCGCGGTACGGATACAGTGGTCCTATTCTTTGCTCCCCTGTCTCTTGGATAGGGCCCCGAGAACCACACGGGTGGATCTTCACTTATACTTGCAATTATAGTCTACCTCATTATCTTATTTTTTTCACTCATTTTTCTTCACTATTGGTGACAACTAGATCTATATTGTTTTCAGTTATTATCAATTAGCAATTTTCATCAATGAGCATAATTTATTAATTTAAATATTAAGGTCAGAGACTCGCTGTCTAAAAAGTCCACTGCTAATGCTATTCTTATCAAAGAAACGGCACAATTTGATAATGTAAAAAGACTTTTTTTTAAATATCAAGAAAATAACATAAAATGATTAAGTATTATGTGCTGAAAGGCTGAGCAGAGGCTTAAAATTTAAACTCGGTTCTCTACTAGTAAGTTTTCGCAAAAGAAATTTTATTTTTAAAAGTTGGGTCTAATAAAAGTAATAGTGATTGTTATGATGAGATTTGTCATTATTAACTCTGGAAAATAGATGCTGACACTAAAATTAACAAGAACTATGCAATTTCAGTTTTATTTCAATTCCAAAGCCCAAAAGCATAGCAATAAGTTAGCTCTAGCAGATGTAGGCTCTCTGGCTGCTTCTGGCCTTCTACTACTGATTCCAGACAAAAGGGAATTTAGATTTAGCTATCATCTGCACTATTCAAAAGTAAAGCCAAATATAAGATAAAATAAAAAACAAAACTGAATTGTTTTGTCAGTCAGTACATCACAAATGCCATAGCCGCACGTATCAAGTTGAATAATGTGATGCCGAAGCAACATGTTATCGCAGTGTGCAGGGGAGAACGGGGACGCCCGGTTGCTGGCCGGTCGATTCGGCTTTTGTGTGCATTTTCACGGAAAGCCATTATATTAGAAAATAATGAAAACTTCAACCCATACAACTCAGGAGCCAAAAGATGCTGGAAATAAAAATAATAGTTTCATAATTTATATACAGCCCACAGAATTCTACACTTATAGAACGGGAACTGTACCACGTGACCTGTGAGGAATTGAAGACCGAAAACAATGGCGTCTTGAGGGCACGATATATCGTTTTCGGAAGTAACCCTATAGCTTTTAAAGCAAGAGCGGCTTTTACAAACGAGTGAAAAGTGGAACATTTACTGCCCAGTTTGTAATTTTGAGTTACAGAATTCACTGTGCAACCTAGAGATTGGAATTAAGGTTTTAAATTGTTGTGTTTTTGGGTGCAACAACAGAAAAAGCAGACATAGAGAGTTTATAAATATAAGATCTACAGAACTATGAAAAAATTCGTAACACGGATGGGATTGTTCACAGCACTAATTAATTCTAGCTTCCCACACACATTTTGCATACGCATATATGGCCTACGTAATAATATATTAGTAGCAAAACTTGTTACAAGAAATTTGTTTTACACTGAACATATTTTTTCACTAGATCTAAGGGATCTAATGACGTCAGCTTTTTTCAGCCAATTTTTACCCCCTCCCCCCCCCCCTCCTGTCAGCCTTTAATCAGCTTTTGTTTGACCCCCCCCCCCTCCCCCCCAAGCTGAGGTCAGCTTTATAGATCAATAATATTTCTATCAATTGCACATTTGTTTCGTCAAGAATACCATCTAACACTACTAACAGTAACAGTTAGCTATAGAGACAACACAACAAAATGAATAATGCTAAATAGTTGTTATTTATACTTATAGTGTTTAACTTTATTATTAAAAGATGAGATCATTGTATCATGCATGGTGGTAATGATGTTTCAAACGTGTCACAAAATAGAAAAGCTGGCATTGGGAAAAACTAATAGGCCTACCTAATATCCCCACATTGAAGAAATATGTTCAAAAATGTTGCGGTCAGCCAAACCTGGATCACTTTCCAATGTCCCCACTTCCTCATTCAACTCACCCTCACCATCACTTTCACTCTCACTCACTCTGCTTTCACTGTGGCCACTATCTGTGGTTTGTCTGAAACAAACCCTCATATGAGCATTCTTATATGCATGCTTGATAGTGGAGTGGTATTTGCCACAGCGAGAACAAGTTCTCTTCTGCAATTTTGTCATTCCTTTGGCATCAGGTTGGTTCAGAGAGGGGCAATGCTGGTCAAAATGGACAGTCCATTATATTTTTCAAAGCTGACATCAGCTTTTCCTTGACCCCCCCCCCCCCCCCCCGACCCCCCACCTTTCTGGAGTCAGCTCAGGGTCAGCTGGCCCAAAGACCCCCCCCCCCCCCCCCCTAATAGGCTGACGTCATTAAAGAACGGTCCCTAATTAATGTTCTCAAAACATGCGTTCAATAATTAGCTTTATGTCGCCAGCAGAAGCAGAAAACAGGACGGACTTGCTTTTAAAAGAGATTTAGCTCCAGCTATAAACTTTTTAAAAATCTGTAGAAACCATTGACTAGGATTTTTTTTTTTATATTGGGCTAGTATTTATTAAAGAATTTTCTTTAAAGAAATTTCTAGAATAATATAGAACCTATGTGTACAAATGTTTGAAAAAAATACTCATCGGTTAAGACGAATTGATATAGATCTAAGTAAGTGTAGAATTCTGTGATACAGCCAGAAGTTTTTATTTTATCGCGTTTTAAAAATTGCCTTGTTTTCAGAAGCAATTAATAATTAATATTTCCAGTTCTACATTTTCACGCGAAGACCGCCATTTTGAAGATGTTTCTTTTCCTTTTAAAAAAATGTAGGCCTGTCGGATGTGGCAGTGTGATTCACAAAACTGAGTTGTTTAGACCCATCAAAGCACGAGGCATCATGGCCGATCACAAAAGTCTACGCGGCGTATCGAGGCATATTCACCCTGCCGCGTGCATGTTCACCGAACTGCCTACAATCGGAGAGAGGGCCCTCGGGCACGTTTTATACACCAAATTTGACCCAGAAGTCCATTTGGAGGATTTGACTTTTTCACTTGACCAAAGTGTGCCAAAATGGTAGCCTAGCTTTTGTTCCTCCGTGAAGGCAAAAATCTGGCCTTCATTCAAACAATTGGGATTGAGCAAAATTTACAGTATTATGTATTGTCCGATGTTCTTACTACATGTATTTTCAAATATTATGAGACAAAACTGTACTAAATTATGAGAAAGGTGCAACGTTGCGAAAGAGAGAGGAACTCAGTCGTGTGAAAAGGGTAGTTTGAGCTATGGCCTGAATAAGGTTACCTAGGGACTTGCATGGTACAAAAGCAAGCCATATGTGGTCTAAATAAGAACTCCCTTCAGAAATACTCGAAGAGATAATCTGCTTCTGTGGTTTAGCCGTTTGATGCTTTTCTGTCGCATCCAGGAGACCTGAGTTCAATTCCTGAGTGGGGAAAAATGTTTAGCAAGCACCTCATTCATTCTGCTAAGATGTTGTCTCCCTCTCAGCCCGGGTTGGCCACGACAGGCACAGTCGGACCCTGCCTCTTACAATATCTAACCTGTGTCAATGGGGGTAGATGTTTTTACAAAACAAGCACATTTAAAGAGAAAAAAATTCTATGAGAGGAAGAACCCTATACATGTACTTTTAAAAGTGTAATCATTAATTTAAATTTAAAGAACTGACAACTTATTCAATGAACCAATATTCACCAGGTACAAAACATAACTATCGTGCCAGAAATGGTCTGCTGGGACATTTCAGTAACCTGCTCGCAGCACTTTTAAAGACTCCCGAGCGACTATTGAGTTCATGTGTGCTGTCGGCATCACTGATGCCACACACACACACAAAGAGAGAGAGAGAGAGAGAGAGAGAGAGAGAGAGAGAGAGAGAGAGAGAGAGAGAGAGAGAGAGAGAGAGAGAGAGAGAGAGAGAGAGAGAACATAAAATCATTCCCTTATGATGCAATGGTAAAAAAAAAATGAAGGACAGCATTTCTCTAAAGCTCAAGTAGGGAGTTCAACAAATGCATGCGGATTGTTGATGTAATGAAAATGACAGGCACAGGGGAAAAAATTTAGACAGAAATAACCGAAGCAGGGAGGGGCATTCCAGATGAACATACATGTACACAGAAAAACCTGATTTAGAAATTGATTTAATATTTTCTCACACCATGCCAGCTTAATGTTTGCTTATAATATTCCTGGCTTACGCACTTCTAAAGTCTTGTTTTTCTAAGGGCAAAGTGGCACTGAGCGACTACAAGGGCTCAATGCAAAGAGGCTGTTAAAGTTAAGATAAAGTTAGACAGCTGCACATGACATAGCGAGGCAGACAGTCCAGGTCCAGTAGTTTTTCTCCCCTCATACAATGGGAAGGTCGGCAGTGAGTTGGGGCAGCTGAAATTTAAAAAATCGGACTCTGGGGAACTACAATCATATTTTCATAAAACTGAAAAAAACATAATGATTCTGACAAATTGGTAATGATGGGCAGCCCTGCATACCTGAGAAGGCTAAAGATAGACTTATATATCTATCCTAAGATCAGGGCTGGGGCTGAAAGACAGCAGTTAGAGGGAGCCAGGAGTAGCAGTAGAAAGAGTCAGGAGTAAAGGAGAAAGGAACCCAGAGGAGGTCAGGAGTGATATGAGGAAGTGGAGATAAATCAGATGACAACAGGGCTAGAGAACAGGAAAGGAGGTGAAAGTAGAAAATTTATTAGATAAATTTAAAAAAATGCTAATTAATGTCAGGTTTCAAACCCGCGGCCTCTTGAAAGAGAGGTGCACATCATACTTCTGGACCATGACAGCCCCTCATCTTACACTTAAGGGCACAATCAATCAACATATGACATACTTATGCAGCAGATGCTTGACTTATATATGGACTAATGATTTGAGGCGTTTAAAGTCAAATAAACACACTCAACACTGGCATTCTCTAGCGTACATTAACTAAAAGTGTTACACTCCATCATTAACAAAATTTAGATCTTAAAGTTAAAGAAAGACTGGTTCACCACTGCCTGTCAGGGTCAACCCTGGATTGAGGGGACATAATCATACCAGTAGACAAAAATACTCAACAAAAAAACCTTCCACATCCGCAAATCAAACTCATGCCTTCTGCACGGAATGGTGAATATAACCTTACCCTTAGTGCTACACTACAGACACCATTTCAAAATGATTCTCTTTTCTTTGCTTTTATGCTAATTCTTTTCAGATTTCTTCTTGCAGAATTCTGCTGTTCCTTGTACCTGTAATTTTCTAAACCAGCTAAAAAAAAGTTCAATGTTTTCACCAGCAAATATGGATCTTAAATTACCTGCTGGAAAATAACACAAAAGACTAAACAGACAGGTCCATATATGATGATCAGAGGTCAGTGTCTCCTGTAAGCAGTAGAATTAATTAGCCTTAATTATCAGACCTGCTGCCCTACTGAACTTTTACTTTGGACGACCACTTGGTAAACACGATCAATTGATAATGGTAATCTGTTCACAAGGTTCTCACAAATTTAAAACTGGGAGATTTTTGAGCGACAAAATAATGAAACAATGACTTGTCAGGCAAGACCTTAGCATTTAATGACATGCTTGCAACATTCTATGAGCCGTACATAGTTCACACACATTTCATTTCCAGTCACACTATACAGTGCACACCTATTGTCTTACACAACATCCTTCACTTTTGAAAACATTTCCAGCATCTCAAATATGTCAAACCCAAGTCACTCCTCTCTATTTTCCTCTCAGCTGCTGACGTGCGTAATCTCTCACACCAAATGTAATTCACTCCCACTTCTAACGTCACAGATCAAAAGGTCCACCAGTTACAATCATTTGTCAAGAAGCCTTGTACATCCAAACCTTCCCCTGAGTGAGGCCATTGTTTTCCAAACGACAATCTTGTGGGAGTTCATAATCAGCTACGAGATGCAGAAATTTCTTCATGGGATGGTTAACGAATGGCAAACGATCTGGGTCTCCGATGAGCACTGTTGTATCAGGAGAAAGATGCTGAAGCCACCACACTATCATTTGTGCAAAATCTGGATCATAGAACATGTCCCCCATTAGAACAACATTCGCTGCTCCAGATGGTTTTGCACTGAGCAGGTTCTTAGTGTTTATATCCAACTTTACTGAGTTCTCTCTCATGTTTAGGTCAATGGCAACTGAAGCAACTGGGGAAGAAGAGAAATAACATATATTCACATTTAAGTTTTTAAATATCAATTGCCAATACTTTTTTGGGGGGTAAGTGTTTTTACAGCGCTCGTGCCAACACTTTACATATCATGGTGTAAATTCTCTGAACCATTTTCGCTACTTTAACAAAAAAAAAAGCAATTTGATGATTTGAAAGGAGGAATATTGGAACTTTGACAGACTTTTGAGGTGAAAAATAGAGCTAGATCTAGATCTAGATCTAGGCTACATTATCTACATTCTTCTAGATCTAGATCATTTGTGGGTTATTTTTTTGGCACTTTTTACTATTTTTAACTAAAGCTTGGAGAGCAATTTTAGTCTCTTCTTTCTGTGTTGCTTAGTTAGGGTCTAAGCTACTGTAGGCCCTACAATCTGTCTTGGTGGAGTTTGGACTTGGGGTTATAAAATTATTTCCTTTTTTTTTTTTGCAGGCCTTAGATATTATAGATTTCTTTTCTAAATATTTTTCAATTTTAAAGCATTTGATACTAGATCTAGAATGAAGAGTTCACCTACATGTTAATTTCTACTCCTTTGCAGGTGAGATCATGTATAAGGCCAATGAAACAATGTTCACAGACTTTTTTTTACCCCTTTGCAATTTAGGTGTATGCTAGAAAAGAAGTGTACATTGTACATCATTTGTCTACTCCTTTCATTTGCAGATGAGGTCCTTCTTGTTGAGGACTTTACCAAGAATAGAAAAAACAACTTACCTTTATGTAGTGTAGTCTGCCCACTTCTGTAAGAGGCAGATGACACTCTATCCAGTAGTCTCTCATTACAAAAATGATGACAACCGACTCATGACACACACAATGAATATATATTCATACCAGACAACATCACCGATGATTTTAACATGGGTAATCACCTGACAGTAGGACTTGACAATGTGACAAAACTGAAAGACCCCCACTTTCAACCTCACATCTCTGCCAAACAAATAATGTGAGGCATCGTGGTGAAATCAGGCACTTGTCAAAATAGTGAAATCGAAGGAGCGGGCAATTTTTTGCTAGTGTTTGACAATTTTTATGAAAATTTTGTTTTTTGGCTCAACGCCTTGTATGCCCCTTCAATCACAAATATATTGACTTCTCCTCGAGATTAATGGGTATTGTTTTCATTGAAAGCAAGACAAAAATAATTAAGCTTTCAGATGGTACCAATAACCCCACATGCCCAAAATTCGAAGGTCTGATCCGACCGCGTCGTGACACATTTATTTTTAATTAAGCCTTCCTGAGGATTTTATTGCTTTTGTGTTTCTTTTCTGTATTCAATTGCCAGTTCAGTGATGTGTGGTTTTATTTGTATAAATAAGGAATTTACGAGTATTTCTGATAACCCCCTTGATATCACGAAAATCTCAAAATTACTCTGGTTCTGAGGCAAAATAATGCACCTTTCCAATGTTCTCTTTTTTACCACACATTGTTACTTAATATTCATTTCCCATTGGTTTTCTGTGTTGATGTGATGTATTTTTGGCAAAATAACCTTTCAAATGATATTTTTCCAATTTTCAGGGGAGATAACCCAATAATTAAAAATTATTGTTTTGCCTCTAACTTGGCTATCTTTCCGTGAATTTTCATAAAAACCTGTACATTAGTACATTTTAAACTACTTTTTCATATTACAAAGAGCTCAGGAAAGTTTTGTGCTTAGTTTGACAATTATAGAATCTATACTTAATTTTTTATTCTAACTGCAGGGTTATGTAACAAATTGAGTAATCTGGGTATAAATCTCAGGTTTCCAGCTTTTTTTCTTCATATGTAAGCTGTTTGGGTGTTTTTCGGTGGATTGTGAATATTTTTGTGTTATACAGTAGTCTCCGCCTAAGATCCCACCGCTTACGATCCCGGTTCGCTTAAGATCCCACTGTTTTAAGAGAACAGAATTTTTACTATACAAAAGTCACCCCTAAGATCCCGCTCTGATTCACTCTGAAGGTCTACATTCGGCTAAGATCCCGCATTTCAGATCATAATTTGCGGAACAAAAACCCGGGCGGGACAGCCGATCAACCAAGTGTGAAAAGTTGAGATCAATAAACTGTCCGTCGCATCAAAGATCAGCCACTATCGTGAATGTGATCACATACACGTTTAACGTAAAACTCGATGAAGTGATACAATGTTTGCCCCAGACGGGCTCACACTGGGGTGTGAACTGACCGACACGTTTGTTTTCCCCAAACATCGCACTCACACCTGAGCTCGCCACCTAAACTTACATCACTCGCTGGGTGGGTAGGGCCTACACGTTCGCTCCAGGTGGGATCACATTGAACTGTGAACTCTTCCCTGACCATTGCAGCAGTAGTTGTCTCTACTCCCGAATTTGCTAGACAGACTGAATTTTAATTGGTGTGTTCACAACGTAATTGTGTGTAACGACAAAGGCGGTTGTGGGGGGGGGGCTCAGTCAGAGATGGAAAGCTATAAATTTTCGACAGGTAAAGGGGAGGGGCAACTGGATAAGCATAGATCTTGAGACTCATGATAGGATAATAAGGGAAAATGGCACTCCCCATCCCACTATGCACTGTGATAGGCCATCAAGGTTAACCACTCTTTGCACGCCATACGTCATAAACCCAACAAACGGTCACGTCAGTTCATTTTAGAGTGGAGGGAGACCATTTTACAGATAGTGAGCCTTAGCATGGGTCACCATACATTCTTCCCTGGGTCCGTCGGTTAAGATCCCGGTTCGCCTAAGATCCCGCATTTCCTTGCTCCCAAGCACCGGGATCTTAGGCGGAGACTACTGTATTTGTGTAGTATAATAATGTTATTTACAGAGAGATTTCAGTAAGCTTCTTCATTTAGTGAGAATCAGGGGGAGTTAACTTTGAAGGTCTCTTACGCACACTGTGATGAGCTGACGCTCATAAAATATGCATTTCTAGTATCCTGAAATGTTAAGCTTTCAAACAGTATATCATATGTCATGTTTTATAACACTTCATATTTGGTCAATTTTGGGAAATGCTGAGCACCCAAATTGTGAAACCTGCCATAACATTTAGGTGCTTGGTACATTCAGTCGATATGCAAGCCTTTATATCTTTATCTCTGCAAGAAATAGATTCTGTTTTAACTGACAAATGTTGAAGAGTCACTTTGAAAAGATATCTAACAAATTTTATATAACTGGAATATCATTTAAGTCATCAGTTCACCCATCCTGAGCATCAACATCTGGGTGTGTGGTTGCAGGACGGGGCATGGCCACCGGAGGAGGGGTGCCACTATTTGAAGTTTGTTGTGTAGACATAGGAGGGTCTATGTCAGCTATATTCTTATCATTTGGGGTGTAAATCTACGTTGTGTGATATTTGACGTTTGTGTGACGGGACCGGGAAGCATCGGATCATAGGTCTGAGCATGGGGAACACCCGATTCTAGATCTAGCACTATTTTCATCTTCACTTGAGTTAACGCCCGGACTGCTAGTGCCCCCTCCCCCCCCCCCCCCCAGTCAGTGCAGGCCGCCAGTCCGACCCCAACACATGCCAGAGTAGACACATGTGCGTGCCAACAACGCATGTGTTGGTATGAAAAAAGGCCGCTGATTGGTCACATGCAATCGGTTAAGTGAATGAATAATGGATCATGATGCAGGTGCAATGGATGGTTTCCGGGAATAGATAAAGTTCATTCTGGGAGAAAAATGAGCGAAGCCACGTCTGCGGGTGCTGTTCACCCTGAAGCGATGTCGTTGAATCCGAGCTTGCTGATTTAAGTGCTCGTTGCATCCGGGTTATTATTATTGATTTTAAAGAAGAAAAAAAACGGGGGATCTATCTCATCTCGTTGAATCCGAGTTCTCGTTGAATCCAAGCTAGTTAAATCCGAGTTCCACTGTATGAAGTTAATTAAAAAAGAATACCGTTTGATAATAAAGAAGATCATCTTTTAACAATTAAGTAAAGTCCACATGTTTCCTCATACATAATCACCTGGGTCGACATCATTGGCTAAGACATGGGAGGCACCAGACATCTTAGCTGCTATTGCAGCAGAGCCACAACCAGAGCCAATGTCAAGGACACACTTGTTTTGTACACACTTTGGGCGGTCAAGAATATACCTGAGTGAGGACAAAAAAGATCTGGATCAATGACAGAAAAAAAAAGATAAAAATTAGGCCATTATCGCTATAACAAGAAGTTCAGTTGAAAGTTTTCTCTTTGATTAGGGATTCTTGGGGGCCCCTCATGGTCTGAGGCAAGGCGTTTGCCTATCATTCAAAAGGCCCTGGGTTTGACCCCTGACAAGGCCGAAAAATGTGAACTTCTCTAATACTTCTCCTTTCCTGTTCTCTGGTCATTTTCTGTCATCTCCACTTTCTCTCTCCACCACTCTCACCCACTCCTGACTTTTTCCACTGCTACTCCAGGTTCCTCTCTACTATTGTCTGTCAGCCACACCCCTGATCTTAGGATGGAAAAGAATGCACATCTAGCCTTCTCAGACAAGGGCAAAAAACCCTTGGAGTTGGAGGTCGCGTGCGCAAGTTGGGCACATTAAAGATCCCTTGGTCATCCTGAAACTGATAAGAGATACCCCCATACAAAATTTTTTTAATTCCTTCCAAAACTTAAATGTATTCTAGACTAATTCTAGTCAGTACAAAAAACCCCCCAAAATAGAGAACCTTTAATATCGGAATATGGTTGCCTGAAGGCAAGAGGCTATGTAGGAAAAATGGTCACATTCGTAAAAATCAGATGCACTGCAGGTTGATGAACAACCAGTCGCCCACCCCTGAGATCTAGCATGGGAACGCAAAGAACAGAGGATTAGGCACCCCATCATATTTTGCTTCAGGAAAACCTTCAATATGAAAGAAATCACAATGTTGTAATTCACAGGATTGTTTTTACAGTTAACTCATTTACAGTACAGCTCAAAGGAAAAAAAGGTCCTGAATATGAAAGCCGTACTGCATCATTGAGGCAAAATTCCAGCAAGCAGTGCACCACTTCATAAGCACTGAAAAGACAGTGCATATTATATATTCCCTTATTATCAGAGCAATATTTTGTGAGAGAAGTGATAACATAAATCATAAAGAGCACATGTAGACTGAATCTGTTGTCCTGTATGTTCTGGGACACGAGAGGCATGAAAAGACGATTCGGTATTAATAAATATAATGTAACAAGCTTGAATTTTACTTTTAATTTCAGAGGGGTCGTTCTGTGGTGTGCTATAGCTGTCTCCTTCATACTTTCTGTTGTTTTTTTGTTCTTTGATAAAGAGTACACTTTGCATTAGAAAATAAAAGAAATACAGATAGGATGATGGATACCCAGACAGACTAAAATGAAAGACTTATTATTAAAATGTCTGGAGCTAGTGATTAAAAAAACCACCCAAGTTTCTTTTGACCATGGCCTGACATTTTGATAGTAGGTAATCCTGAGAACCAACCTCGTCAAAGCTTGGCCCCCTGGCCAATAAAAAGCCCAGAATGGATCATCAAAAGGGCTGGACTCTCCAGGGGACCTCCACAGATGACATTGTGGTGTAATCAGATGAAGTCCTACTTCAGGCGTTAGGTGAACTCGGGTGACCTTTGTGTGCTGTTTGACCATTGCTTGCAAAAACAGTCTATTCATAGATCTCTGTATGAGTTTCCAATAAAATCATCCTCATCTTTCAAAGCACTCTCTTGAAACCTGAAGAGTTATAGATGATAAACAACCACGATTTACTTCAATGCATCAATTTTCAACAGAAAAAACAAAAGAACAGAGATCACAAAGAGAGGCAAAAAATAAAAACTCACCAAAAGAAAGAAACATGCTTTACATTATATCCTCCTTTCTGTAATATTGTTCAGTTTGAGGGTAGAAAAAATTGTCAGACAAGACAGAGGTAATCTGTCACTTTCTCAATCCTAAAATGTTACACAATCACCACTACATTTACTATGTAATATCACACTGGTTTTTTATTCCCATTTATAAGATAATGTCCCAAGAAGAGGAAAAGATGAAGCAACAATGATCAACATACCATGTAAAGTCTGGTTGTTGTAACTTAAACAGAGTAAGCATCGACTTGAACTCACAGACAGCGATAGGGATCCACATGCTTCATCATGTCTAAACATAAGACAAGATCACTCCTGAACCTTCGTGGCACACACATGAGAGGAAGCGCCCACAAAAAACTGCTCCTCAAATAATCTAAACAGATGCTAGAAAACCGTAAAGAAGCACTCCGTCCATATGTATCTGACAGTTGTCTTTCACGAATTCATAGTTGAACCAATCTGTAACGGAATATAATATAATGGTCATTCAGATTACAGAAAGAAGTCAAAGTACTCAAAGACCATTATTAATATTATAAACAGAATGCCACTATGGATAGGGTGTGATTTATGGTCACACACTAGACTTGACAAAGCCAACAAATGGTTCAATATAGATTCGTAAGCCTATTATTTATAATCTTAATTTTTGTCTTTCAATATATTCATCAAAATTATTTCTATCATGGGAGCTTCTTAACATTAACAGAACACGCCATGTTTCTATTATCTTCTTCTTCTCGATCGCATCACACTTGAAGTCCGGTATCTGTCATATATTGGGCCGTCCTGCTCAGTTCACCTGGCGGCCCGTATAGCTTCTCTTGTAGCGTCAGTGGGGTTGGCCACGTTTCCTGTCTCAGGGCCCTGTGTGTCTTGCTGTGCTGAAGGATGTGTTCAACAGTTTGGGTTTCTATTATCATTATGGGAGCTTTCTAAAATTAACTGAACACACCACACTCAGTCTGAGGAAGGGTTCTTGGAAACCTTGTTTAGCAAATGACAACTATGGGCAGGTTTTGAGTCCGAATTGTGGCCAAAATATTGACCAAAGCTATGTTGGACAAGGACGGCTTTGGAGTAAAATGGAGAGGTGACACTGAAGCTGACCTAAATTAAGTTTCGATACAAGTTTGGTAGGTACGTGTTTCTGTAGATTAAAAATTTTTTTTACATTCAATAAAATTAATCTATGCATGCACGTTATTAATCGTAGCACTTATTTAAAAGTAATTGCACATCGCGAGACTGATGTGACATACACACAAGGACGGGGGTACTCACCAAAGTCCTCCTTTTTCTTCTTCTTTTTTTTCTAAGTGTTTTACAGCGCTCGCAACTACATAAAGGTCATGTGAGCACATCATCATCATTGCCTTTCTCACCCAGCACCAGGGTATAGGCCATGGACAAACACCTTCCACTTTTCTCTATCCTGGGCTAGCCTCTTGTTGTTACTCCATGTCTTCCCACTTTTCTGTACATTGATTTCTGTGATTCTTCTCCAGGTTCCACGAGGTCTTCCCCTTGATCTCTTGCCCTGTGGGTTCCAATCCAAAACTTTCTTTGTTATGCAGCTGCCTGACTTCCTGAGAGTATGTCCAATCCATCGCCACCGCCTTATTCCTACCTCATCTCTGACTGGGACCTGTCTTGTTTTTCTTAACACTTCCACATTGGTGACCCTGTCTGTTCATCTGATCCTCAGTAACTTTCTTAGACACCTGTTCAAGAAAACCTGGACCCTCTTTATACAAGCCTGTGATGCGTTCCATCATGCCTCACATCCATACAACAGGACCGACTTCACCTTTGAATTGAAAATCCTCAGCTTTGTTCGAAGTGATATAATATCTCAAGTCTTCCAAATCCTATCCAAAGATATGAAAGCAGCCTGTGCTTTTCCAATGCGGGACTTTATTTCAGCACCTGTTCCTCCCTCTCTGTCAATTATGCTCCCAAGATAGCAGAAGGATGTGAGCGCATGGGAAACAATAAATATTTTCAATTGGTAGGAAATTTTGAATTCTGCCTGGGTGGTGGCCTAACTAGTAGGCGTACTTATCGATCTTCGGACCACCAATGAGGGATCTTTACAATAATGCGTGCGCGACCTTCACATGGGACCTCCGAGATTTTTCTTCCTTGTCCGAGAAGGCTAGGTGCAGATCTTTAAATCCTACCAAAAGACCAGGGGCGTGGCAACAGCAAGGCTGCAGAAAAAGAGTCAGGAGCCCAGATAAGGGGGCAAGGGGGTTGGGGCAGAAAGTGGAGACGAAAGCAGACGACAGGACATTGTTATAGAGAGCAGGAAAGGATCTGAAAGGAGAAAATTTTAGAGAAGAAAATGTTCCTGTCGCTATCCAGATTCGAACCCGGGACTTATTGAATGAGAGGCGAACCTTGCCTTATAATCTCTAGGCAAGAGAGCCCCCAGAGTCTCTTTGTAAATGAGCTATGGTAGGCTATAGCCTTACTATAGTGCTCTATATTAAATTATCACTTTATTCCTCCTATTACGTAGAATAGGCTAGAAAATAATATGAGAAAAAGCAGAGACAGTTGAGACCCCTCCGGGGCAGTGCCACTGACTGACTGTAACGTAACTGTAAGTGTCTTTAGGCCATTCCCAAAGGGGGGACATTTCTCGTTCAAGCACAGTAGAACTGTAAATGGGCTGATTCATCATGTCACGCTCATGAATAACTGTGCCTGATCTGCATTAGGGAACTGCTGCTTTTTCTTTCCTAATCCCTACTATTGTCATTTTTCTACAAGACTTCTTTTGAATGTTTGTCACTCTTGTGACCCGCTATTTTCGGGGTGCCTTGATAGTCGAAGCAGACCTTATATATGCTGTGTTGAAGCTAGAGAGATGAGCAGAGTTGGTCTGATTCCCTGTAAGGACTTCTCTGTTGACACCCACCCCTTGGCGCTCATATAATGACCTTATATTGTTTGCGAGCGCCCTAAAACCCTTTCCACTAATAAAATAAAAGATAGATATCTAGTTGACAGAAAGACTCTCAGACTCTCTAGAGAGATTGTTGATCGCTGCATTCGTCGAACATGGAGCTAATTCATTCGTCGGTGTAGGCCTTGGAGAGGGAAGGACTTCCCTAACGAGCGACCACCCCATCAAACACAATAAAGAAGAGGCCTAACCCTAACCCTACCCCGAGATCTAGATCTACCCCTCAATTCTGCTCTGTCTCATTGACTCTTACTCATAGTGGTCGCTCGTTACGGAAGTCCTCCCTTGGCTGGTGTAGGTTACGAGGTAAAGATAGAGTGTCTTTAAAAAAAAACGACAAACAATTAGTATTACGCCTCATAAATAAATTACTAGATCTAGAACTAGATCTAGATCTAGATTTAGATATAGATCTAGAGTCTATAGATCTCTAGACTAGATCAAGTAGATCTAGATTTATATCTAGATTCTAGATCATGGAGATCTGGATTCACCGACGACTTATCCAAAACAAACTCAATTCTGGCGGACACCAGAGCAGTTCAGGGCCAACCAACCTGGTCCAGTTCGACTCCAAAATAAAGATTGGTCATGGAAAAACCCCTTTCGACATTGCACCTCCGTGAGCGCAGTTGAGGTTGAGTTGGGTTGGAGAAGGCCAAATTACACACAGTCATTTGAGTCATCCAGGACCTCTGGCTCTCCTCCACGCCTAGCCTAGGCCCTATCTCTCGAATCTCTCCTCGCTCACTCGAGTCAGCTGTTCTTGGGCCCACGTCTGAGCCTTGGCCCTAGGAGGCTAGCCTACGGAATTTTCCATTCATACGCTTCCAACGTAACCCGGAAGCATTCGTATTATTTTGAACCGCGCCAAAACCGGTTCGAACTGCCTTCGTTTCCTTTTGATCTAGGCTAGGTCTGGATTCGTCATTGTGACAAGTTTCCTTCAATGTAAGTAACGTTCTCAATCGTACCCTCATCTTAAACATCAGTTTGGTTTGTTGTGTTAGTTCTTGAGAATTATTTTCATGAACTTGTCTGTGATAGAATATTTAAAAGATTGTCCATACTGGAGAATACAGTTTGATTTTATGATGTCGAATGGACAAAGAACCATTTATCGATAAGGAATTAGCGGGACTTGTGCCAAAAACCCTTTCTCCTTTACAACCTACGTTATAAGTCTCAGTGTAGGCTTACTTTTAGGCCTAGGTGTAGTACTTTTTCAGCGGACTTGTAGATACATGGATTATTAAAGTGTACGTGAGGTCTGGAACTTGCAGTCTAGATCTATGCTAGGCCTAGTCCTAGCTAGACAAGAGAGGCTAATCTGACTAGAAATAGGCCAAGATGTTACCTCTAGTCTCTAGCCTCTAGATCACCCGCGGTGAGAATAGAGGTGGCCTATGGAGAAACAAAGAGTACACCTCTGCCGTGATACTGTGTGTCGTGAGAGGTGACTGCAAAGGTCTGGTCGCCCGAAAAGTGCCAGTTTGCGGAGGGCCAACTAGGCTACCCAACCCTGTAAAAAATAGTCTAGATCTCTAGATCTAGATTATCTAGATCTAGTAAGTTACAGAAACACGGACAAACAGTTTTTTATTTTTCGATCTTGGGAGACAGAGGAACTGCATCAGCAGGAACAATAAAGGACAGCGAACAAAGCCGAAAGGACTCTTCTGACCCGGAACCTTCTCTGTCGAACAAGTACAAATCTCTCCGGATTGCATCATAGAATGTTCGCACTTTGTATGAAGCAGGAAAGAGTTTTCAAAGACACTGCACTTACTAGGAGTCAGCGAAACACTCTGGATACAGCCTGGGCGCTTTTTCGGTAGTTCCCACCCCCCTTATTTGATAGAGCCTGACCTACATCTAGATCTCTATACGTTTGATTCGCGGCAAGCTAAGATGTCAAACCTAACAACTGCAAAACATTAAATTGTGGTAAAATTCAGGGGGGCATGCCCCCCTGAAACCCCCACCTTGTTTTTATTAGGTCAGGGGGGCAAGCCCCCCTGAAACCCCCCCTACTCTTGGGGCCAAAACCGGCGAATAACAAATGCGGGGTGGGAACTACCGAAAAAGCGCCACAGCCTGGACAGAAGCAGCTCAGCTCGGGTGAACAAGTATTGTAATCTGGGAGGGAAGACAAGTACCATGCGAAAGGAGTGGGAATCATTTTGAATAAGTATGCACAGAAATCACTTACACAGGATGGGAACCACACTGGGAAAGAATCATCCTGGTTTCATTCACTATAAGGAGCAAGAGTATCAACATGAAATATAGTCCAAGTCTACACCCCAACAAATGATGCTTTGGATGAAGACAAGGATGCCTTTTACAGCCAGCTCCAGGGGGTCATCGACAAACTACCAAGGAAGGATGTCAATGTCCTAATGGGAGATGCCAGTGCCAAGATTGGTCGCGACAACGTGGGGTATGAAAGAATTATGGGACAAATGAATGAAAACAGTAAGCGATTCGCAAATCATGTATCTTTTTTCTCTACAGATAGTACAGACATGGCACAGACAGACCAGGACGTTCCCTCTTTCAAAGTAAGTTGTCCCAGATCATTGCGTGTATGGATGGCTGTACTGCATGAGTCCAAATTAGCAAAGAGAGTCAATAGAGTACAGTGGCGTAGCTGCCAAACAGTAACCTGTTACACTACTCAGAAATGTATTCAGTATGTTTTTAGGTCAGTCAGTCTTGAGTACGTACATATACTTTATAGTATACGTAGCCTACTTTAAAAAAATGTAGATTGTATGTTTTTTCCATTGGCTATTAAGTTCACAAACTTTTGAGCAGATTTAGGTTCAATCGTACGTGTGTTTTTTCTAGTTTGCCATATGGAAGTGGCTTTTCTCAGGGGTGAGAATAGCCTGTGACTCGCTATTCTCACCCCCTCAGGTGTGCTAGATATAAGAAGACCTATGGCTATAGCTTATAGCAGACACACACAGAACAGTACACAAAGAATAACTTATAAGGTTGTGGAGATCAGTTTTAGATTTAGTTTATTTAATGGGCTGGGTTTTAGGCCATTTCACACCATGAACAGCAGACAACAATGAGAAAAAAAAAAGAAAAAAAACTAGCTACACTAACAGTAGATATAGATTCTAGATTTATGGTATGCAAGATAGAAATGTCAAGAGAGAATCACTGATACCAACCGGTCCTCACCCAACCACATGCGGTAAGCCACCTAGGGCCTATGTGATTTTATCGGCCCGCGAGAGGTCTGGGGAGAGTCCTTGCCTCATGCCCACACTGGGGGGTGGGGGGTGAGAATACCGCATCATGAGCTATTCTCACCAGAAAATGCCTACAGGTAGCCTTGCCATATAATATATGAATTCTAAATTAGTTGTGGTTTTTTTCCTCAGTTGGTCTTGGTGGGTGATGGGGGTGTTGGCAAGACCACATTTGTCAAGCGTCACAAAACTGGAGAATTTGAAAAGAAATATGTTGGTGAGTTGTGTCCTTCAGCTTTATGAATTTTGGCAGAAATAAAATTGTGCATATTTTCATTATCCTGTGAAAAGTTTTGGTTCCAGAAGTCTTCGCAGATGTCTGCACAAGTGGTGTGTTACATACATCTGTATGGTTTGTATTCTGTGCTGTTCATGGTAAACCAATAAAGGCTGATTTAAACCAGGGGATGGCAGCCTTGGCTTTCTTGTGCAAGCAATTGTTGTTTTGAATTATTATATTTTCTTTGAAATGAGGTGTCAGTTGCTCTTGGTGCATACCACACACACTCATGTTTTAAAACGGTGCTTGCCGATCAGGGTGGCATCTCCTACTGTTTGATGGTTGTTCAGGATGCCCTAGTAAGGACAGGTATTGTTTAATGCCTTGTGTAATGGAAATTGTATATCAGCATGTTGGTGGGTGGTTGGCGGGTGCTCTGGTGTGGTTTGCTTCTTCTTTCCTATCAAACATCTATCGTCCTTATCTCCCCTTCTTCTTTTTTATGTTTGTTACTCTCTTGTAACACCTCTAATCTTCTGGTGCTCATATGACCTTCTGCAGTTGCAAGCGCCGTAAAACCCTCTACTAGAACTAAAAATCAGTATGTTGGTTGGTGGGTGGCACGAAAATTTTTGCGTCTTTACACTGCACTCATGGGGTGGCGATCAGCAAAGGTGTGATATGGCAACAAAACATATTTGCACTTGTTATAGTTTCTTCTCTGAATGGTTTGTATGACCTCAGATCAAAAATCGGTTTGCCTACAACAACTGGAGTAAAAAAAATCTGAAGAATTTCCAGTGCACTTAGCATGAGCTTTGCTTTACACTTACGCCATGAGAATTCGGGTGCGCTCTGTCAGTCTTTAGTTCCTATTCCTTTTTTTTAAAAATGAATATGCGATCATCACGTTCAATTTTCTCTATGTTGTGAGAATTTCGTAATAGTTTGGGTATTTTTGCAGAGATACCGGTATAGTAAGTTACTCATGTAGCCCATATTTTCATCTTGGACGTGGGAATGCACTGCGTAGGTGGACAGTGATAAAGGTGACAAAAGTGAGTGCTGGCTATGAGAGGGCGCTTTGCGGAAAGGGACGAGGTAAGCTGCAGTGGTCAGCTTCTGTTTTATTTCTCTTTCAGCCACACTGGGAGTAGAAGTACATCCTCTTGTTTTTCACACTAGCAGAGGACTGATCAAATTCAATGTGTGGGACACAGCAGGTCAAGAAAAATTTGGTGGACTCAGAGATGGTTATTATATTCAAGGTGAGTGAAAACAATTATGATTGAAATTGCCACTCCTTGACAAGAGAAAAGGTGTTGTCTTAACCCTCTGCGTGCACATCATCACGACCAGGTCGTGATGACTCATTCCTCCCTTCCGTGCGCATTGGAACCACCGGTCATGATCCAACTTGAGTGTAGAAACTATACCGCTGGCATGGTAATAGCCATTTTGTAAACTGCTGGTGACTACAGCCCACCGGTGCAATGTTTATTAGTGCCGCTGGCCGTGCATTTCGCAGTCGGGGATCGGTTGGGAGTTTTTTATAGGCAATTTTCTGGGATATTGTTTAGTTTTCAAAATGTTGGATTCGTCGGCTGATATAGACTCAGATTTTTACCCAACATTTTTCTGGAATCGGACCACTGTGATAGGGAGTAAGAAGGATTAGGTCCTCAAATAAAAGATTTAGATCTACGTGTGAATGATGGGGATATCATGTCGTAGACCTAGATCAGAGAGGGTTTACAGTAATAGAGAGGTGACACTCGTGGCGGCGCTCCATAACAACAGTGCATTGTTTCGCGTATCGCCCGGCGATGCTCAGGGATGCTGTCATGTCATGATAAAGTGTAGTACTGTCTGTAGTTAGTTCACTAGGTTACTAGGCCTTTAAAGAAAGGAGGCCTGTGAATTCTATCGCATATTTTAGGCTACTCCCCTGCCTCCCTCGGCCATAAATAGTAAGACTTGTTTTTAGCTTAAGTTGACATAGGCACCTACATTCTAATTAACAAATAGACGCAGATTTCTTTTTTCTTCGTCTCTATAGATCTGGGGGGGAAAATCCCCATAATTAAAGGAATAATCAGTTTAATTTTCAGCAAATCTACTCGTTCTCCAGTGTCCCTCTGTCATCTCTCTCCCTCTCTGTCTGTCTGTCTTTTTCTCTCTCCCTCTCTTTTTCTCTCTCCCTGTCTCTTTTTCTCTCTCCCCCCTCTCTCTCTCTGTCTACCTGTCTGTCTGTCTCTTTCTTTCTTTCTTTCTTTCTCTTTTTCACCCCCTCTCGCCCTGTCTATCAGCGTCTGACTGTCTGTTGGTTTTCTCTGTCTGTCTGTCTCTCTTCTTCTCCCCCTTCTCTCGCTCTGTCTAATGAAGCCTTCCTGAGGATTTTATTGTTTTTGTGTTTCTTTTCTGTATTCTATTGCCAGTTGAGTGATGTGTGGTTTGTGGTTTTATTTGTATAAATAAGGAATTTACGAGTATTTCTGATAACCCCCCTGATATCACGAAAGTCTCAAAATTACTCTGCTTCTGAGGCAAAATAATGCACCTTTCCAAGGGTTAATGTACACAGTGTTCTCTTTTTTACCACACACTGTTACTTAATATTCATTTCCCATTGGTTTTCTGTGCTTATGTGATGTGTTTTTGGCAAAATAGCCTTTCAAATATTTTTCCAATTTTCAGGGGAGATAACCCAATAATTAAAAATTATTGTTTTGCCTCTAACTTGGCTATCTTTCTGTGAATTTTCATAAAAACCTGTACATTAGTACATTTTAAACTAGCTTTTCATATTACAAGGAGCTCAGGAAAGTTTTGTGCTTAGTTTGACAATTACAGAATACTATACTTAATTTTTTATTTTAAATGCAGGGTTATGTAACAAATTGAGTAATCTGGGTATAAATCTTAGGTTTCCAGCTTTTTTTCTTCCTATGTAAGCTGTTTGGGTGTTCTTCGGTGGATTGTGAATATTTTTGTGTTATATTTGTGTAGTTTATGTGATTTACAGAGAGATTTCAGTAAGCTTCTTCATTTAGTGAGAATCGGGGGGAGTTAACTTTGAAGGTCTCTTACGCTCACTGCGATGAGCTGACGCTCATAAAATATGCATTTCTAGTATCCTGAAATGTTAAGCTTTCAAAAAGTATATCATATGTCATACACTTCATATTTGGTCAATTTTGGGAAATGCTGAGCACCCAAATTGTGAAACCTGCCTTATGCCTCAACGTACAACACTGAAATTAACAAATAAAAAAGATGATAGGTTGAAGAAGACATTGTGAGAAGTACGTAAAAAAAAAAAAGATATACTCTTTTAATATAAAGGCTTGAACTTACCTTATTTTCAACTCCTTGTAACTCCGAACACACACAACTGATCCCGAAGTGGAAAACGCCATAATACGCACCTTTCTTTTCTCTAAAATTTGATAGGCGGAAGTAATCCATAAATTGAAAAGAACACTATAAACAAAACAAATAGGTACCCCCCCTGACGGGGCCCGATTTCTCACAAAAAACGCGGCGGCCGCCGGCTAACGAAAATCTCAGGCCGCGTGGGCCAATGTCCAAGTGCCTAACAATAGTCTCTGCCTAAGCTTTGTTTCCTTAAAAATTTGGTGGCATTAAGTGCGATACTTTCTGAGCTGTAACGGGGTAGGTCTCCCCTGCTTTGCAATAGAATATTTTATTATTTTGATTTGGTGCTTCCACTCTCCCGTATTTTTGCGGAAACCCGTTCTTTCTGCCAGTTCCGTACTTGTTCCTCCGCCATTATCAACGTCCTCCGTAAAAAGCTGCGACAGTGTAGGACTACCGAAATTCCGTGGCAAAAGATTCGCTCTCGTATCGTCTAGTACTAGTATAAGTTACGGATATTTTCAGTAATTCTCTCGGCAATAAGTTAATGTTATAGAAACCTGCCAGATTGCGCATTTCCTGCAATCGGTCATTATTCCTCTATACAGGGCTGCCTAAATCTACCGATTTTTCCGGTAGATACTGATTTTGGACATGTTCTACCGCCATACCGATAAGGTGTCAAAACTAACGGATTTTCTATGGGTGCTGAAAGAATAAAAAGAAAAAAATCTGCAGTGTGTCCAAAAACTTCCGTTCTTTGTTTTTACGGAAATCCGTACCTTCCGAAAGTTTCGTACTTGCCGCATCATCGTATAAACTCCATGTGTTAAGAGAAAGAGATCAGCACCTGCTTCTGTAACTTTTCATATATTTACAGCAACTCTCGGCATTAATTTGTATTGGAAACTGCCAGATTTCGCATTTCGTACACTCGACCATTATCTGTCTGTGCTGTTCGGTTGGCCATAGTTTTTCACGTGGATATCGGCTAAAATCTTGTCTACTCATGATAGATAATCTTCCTCCTTCCTTTCATTCATTCTTTCTTTCTGTCTATCTTCGGGTTTTTCTGCAGCTGGAAAATCTGCATACAATTCATGTATCTAGAAAACAAATGTGAATGTAGAAAGAAAATCGGCATCGAAGCAAAACATTCTAATATGTCTTGGTCTAGAGAATTGGTCAGTACCAAATGAGGAGTCTATGCAGGGGGGCTGCTGGAATTATTACCCAAGAATCTGGGGGGGGAATCGCTGAGACCCGAGAAAATGCACAAAGTCCTCAAAACCAAATCTGAAAAGGCTACTGAGTTCATATTTTACCGGTTGCGTTTGTGATATTACGTTCGGCTTTCCCCAGTCCGAGCGAGAGTACGTTCCACGCGAACAAGCGGCTATTGTGGCAAGCGGATGTGTAGGTGTAATACTGAGACTCCGTCTGGATAATAATAAAAATCTACTTTCACTTTCATTACCGCTCAGAATTGTCCGATGATAGTTTGTTGACGTTAGATTTACAGTTAATAAAAATTTGTATCATGCAGTTTGTGCATAAAGAACACTGTCGCCGTACAAATTAAATCGATATTCTCACTGATGTCACTATAATGACCCCCCCCAAAAAAGAAGAAAACAAGCGTCCTCCGATTTCCAGGTTGTCGGGCCCGTCATTGTGACCGGTCAGTGAACCTGTGAGAGTTCGTGAGTAAGGGACCGGCCGGTGGTTGTTGGGGAAAGCCTAATCAAAGTTTATTCAAAGTAGGAGCGTTGCAAGGCGTCGGAATTGAAGAGAGGTGTTTGACTCAATAAAGTCTACGGCAGCAGGAAAAGGCCGCAGTGCAAGAAACTGATGCTAAAATAAAAACGATAAGTGGAAGTGGTTATGACATTTGACAATCGAGTGCGTAAGGAACATCAGAGCACAGGGTTGATGATTACATGAGGTTGGTGTTCCCTGATTTGTCAGTGATGACAAATTGAATAGTGGCAATGAGGAAATGCTATTTTTAACCCTCGGAAAGCTCTATGTTGGATGCCTATGCATCATGGTTGCTTGTTGCTGATTAAAAACTTTTACTGTGATTTAGCATTTTGAAGAAAAAAAATCAATACTTAATCCATGATTATGCAGTGATTCACTGATTGCCAGGTTTTCAGCATCACTACATCCCATGCTCTCACAGTCTTTCCAGCTCCGGCTCTCAGTACACGCTCTCTTTTATTTTCTCGTTTTGCTGTGCCGTAAGGTTTTATAAATATATTTTGTCTTGAATGCTTTTTAAAATCCATGATTGCTGAAAACACACGTGGTTTTGGCAGTTGATGTTTAATCACCCTGCACTCAATTCCAGATTCAATACTGAATGATAGGTGCCTTGAACGATAGTCCATAAATCATTTTTTTTAAAACAAAAAACTCCCCTCATTTCATACACACCGTTATCTTAACTTGTGCACACCGAAACACCCCCTTCACCTCCCCACATATATAAACACAAGCGAGAACACGCATGCACAAACAAGTTTTCAAAATATAATCACCCAATATCACGGAAAGCAAGCACGTTCAGTGAGGCAACGATCATCTTTTTTTTTCTTCTTTGTCTTTGTACTACCTGATTTTGGGGCCAAACTACCTGAAAATGACCCTGAATCTACCTGAAATGGGAACTTTGAGGTAGGCAGCCCTGCGCTATGCCCCATGCATTCATTGTGGGTTGGTCAGCGGTTCATTTTTACCTTTGGATTGATCAAAATCTGGCGAACTTTTTGAGCCAATTTCCTCCTTTCTATCATTCACTCATTCCGTATGTCCGTCTTCGGATTTTTGCCCTCTGATCTAATTCCTTATTCTTTGTCTCTGGTTAGGGAAGTGAAGGGATTCTATTACAGCTTGGTGCTAAAAATGGTTCATTATTAGATAGTTGTTTGGGACACGTGCTGAGCAAATATCCCAAGTATGCATGGGACCAGGTATCAGTGAGTTGAGCTTTCCTAAATTTGAGAATGTATTTATTTGAAAGCTAATGAGCCCGTGATGATTACATGTGTCTGATTTCATACTGAAGCAGTTCATGTCCCTCTAATCTGAGGCTAAATTGTGCTGTATTAGTGTGCATATATATATTTTCCTGTCTTTATTATTTTTTATTTTGCTTCGTAAAAGGAATAGTCTGGCACCAAAAAAAATTGAAATCACGAATAGCTCATACCATTTTCCATTTCCAACAAATATCTCTTTAATTTTTTTGCTTATGGTTTTAATCCAAATCATGTATGCTTCAGAACACATGGTCAATCCCTGGCGAGTTCTGGCTGTGCAGTGAAATGATTTTTTGTGTATCTCAGGTCAGTGTGCCATCATTATGTTTGACGTTACGTCCCGTGTCACCTACAAGAATGTACCCAACTGGCACAGAGATCTGGTCAGAGTGTGTGAGAACATCCCAATCGTTCTATGTGGAAACAAAGTCGACATCAAAGACAGAAAAGTCAAAGCCAAGACAATTGTCTTTCACAGGAAAAAGAATCTTCAGGTATATATAAACAGTTGATTGAATATTGGTTTTAATTAACGGCATGGTTTGTTTGTTTTTTAACATGGTTTGTTTGTTTTTTAATCAAAAGTTTTATAGGCATGATACAGTGGAATTCGGATTCAACGAGATGAGATAGATTCCCCGTTTTGTTGTTTTTTTTCTTCTTTAGACCTGCATGTTTGCCGACAATCGCGACCCCGACCCGCGAACCGGCCGATGCTATCGCTAGGCCCACCTGTATTAGTCAATGTTCGAAGTGCGAGGCCTGGCCGTGTGCCAGCGACCCCTTTTTCTCCAAGAAATAGGCGAGCTATGACAAATATTAATATTGTCTCAAAACTCACCGAAAACCGCCACATTTTTACGTATAAACGACTTCATAACTCAAAAAGTAGGATAGCTATGACAAATCTGAAAGCAGGACTAGATTCTGCACTAGTAAATGTACTAAGTTGCCAAGTTTAATTTAAATACTCCGAGAACTCACCAAAGAACGTCCCATATTTTGGGGTTTTTCAATATAAAAGTGTACCAAAAATTAATTGATTTAAAAATTCGTAACTTTTTTGTTTATTGATGGATTTCAAAAATTCAAAAAGTTCCATGCTCTGTGGAGATAGAGCTACAAAATGCAGCTATTTGCAAACACTTTCTGACAAAAAAGGTTTTTCGTGGTCATTGCTAAGTTGGGCGTTGAATGTCACAGATACTAACGCGTTAGTCTTTTTTTCCCTTGGCAACTGATCATTTTTACAATGAATAAGCTAGTTTTGACGTAGATCTGCGTAATGAGATGTGCGCAGGTCTACGGAATTCTAAAGTTGCCGTATGCTGGGCTCTACACAGCAACACAACTGTTAGGTAAACAATCGAGATGACACAGGTGTGTGCATTTGAACGAATCAGTCTCTTTTTTTACACGGCTCATAATATGCAGGCATTTCAGGGACTACTTGTGACTTCTCTTTATACATTACTTGCTCAGTTGCCTGTAATTATCTACACAAAACCTCATGTTTGCTATAACGAACACTCGCATTCAACGAAATTTTAGGCCAGGCTCTGCGACCTAGTTGAATCCGAGTTCCACTGTATTTTATGCTTCCAATCTTTGGTATTTTTTACAGAAATCTGTACATTCCAAAAGTTTCACACTTATCGCCGGTCATGTTAGCTCCATCTGTTTAAAAATATCCCAAAACAGATGGTTTAAACCTCCTGTTATTCTGTAGCAAAGGATCTGTGCTTTCCTTTGTTGGATATGTTTTAGAAACTTGCTAGATTGCAGTGTGAAATTTCTAAAATGTGATCCACAAATAAGCGATAGCCTTCTTGTGGAATCCTTTGTGGTCCAAAATCGATAAGAGTTGGCTCCAGCCGCCATTTGGGCATTATTCAAGAATAATTCCTATCAAACTGAAAATGTTTAATGTGTCCCGCGCGCTCATATGACCTTGTGCAGTTGCGAGCGCCATAAAACACTTACCGAAACAAACATCTGTTCAGCTTTTGCTGGATACTCTTTTGTGAGGCTGGTATTTCTTTTCCTGTTTGGCTTTTTCAAAGGTGTCTACTTGGTTTATTTCTGTGATTGATATTGTCTAGTTACCCACTGTAGTTAGGTTGACAGAACATGTCCGCTTAAAGGAGCTTCTATTGTCTTTGTTGATTAAAAGCAGAGTGAATTAGCCAAAAGGATGATGATGACCACTTTATTTGTGCTGCTGAATTTTTAACATTTTCTCTTTGGTTTTCCCCCAGTACTACGACATCAGCGCTAAGAGCAACTACAACTTTGAGAAACCTTTCTTGTGGCTGGCCCGCAAACTTGTCGGAGACCCCAACCTGGAATTCATTGAGATGCCTGCCCTTGTACCACCAGAAGTGCAAATGGACGCTGCCTTGGCCCGCAAATACGAGGAAGAATTCAGAGTGAGTTTCTGTGTATCTTTAGCAATATCAGTCACTTTCTGCACGTCAGCCCGGAAATTTGGCTGAAACAGCATAATTTTTGGGGCATTTCTAAGTTTAATTTTACGGGAATACATCAATAAAACTTTGGTGACCAATTAGAAAAAAGGCGTAACCTAATAACCTGGGGCTCGCCCCTAAGATCTTGCTTTGTGGTTCTACTTTCGGCTGTTGTTTTTATCGATCCAGCTACATCTAGGCTCTTGCCGTTTTGTCCAATGTAGTGATAAGTGCAGGTTTGTTGTAATATTCCATAGAGTGTTATCAATGTTGGATCTCAGAGAGAGAAGTGTAGCTCTGATGTAATTTAGGGCTAAGAACCCGCATTTCAGACCATAATTTACAGATCAAAAAGTCGGGCGGGCACAGCTACAACTTCACTCCTGACGAGATCAAATTGAACTGCGAACTCTTCCCTGATTATTACAGCAGTTGTGTCTATTCTTGAATTTGTGAGTCAGACTGAATTTTAATTGGTGTGGTCACAACATAATGGTGAGTAACAACAAAGGCGGGGGAGCTTAGTCAGTGATCAGAAGCTATAAATATTGGAACGGTAAAGAGGAGGGGTAACTGGATACGTGTAGATCTTGAGATTCATGATGGGATATAATAATGGGATATAATAAGTCTAAATGGCTTGCCTCATGCCATAGTGATTAGTTATCAGAGTTGACCACTCTTTGCTCGCAATTTGTCATATACCCACCCAGGGTGGGTCAGTTCATTTTAGAGTGGAGGGAGACCATTTTACCGGTTGCGGGCCTTAACATGGGTTACAGTAGTTTCTTACCTTAGTGCTTCAGGTAAGATTCTGCACTTTCCTTGCTCCTAAGCACTGGGATCTTAGGCAGAAACTTTAATCATGAATTCAGAGATGCCAACCAGTGCGGTTTTACATATGTTAGTACGATTTTTTGCCGAAAATACGCGAATATGACTTTTCATGAAAAAATACGCATCCTGGAATTAGAAAAATATGAGATTCAGCTTGGGCGAGTGATCCTAATTATCTCAAGTCCCATCTTTTGTCAAAATAATCTCAGTATCGCAAAACTGGAATATTTGAAAACCAAGTCCGATAAGGTCAGTAAGTTCAATTTTCGCGGTCGCGATTGTGATATTATATTCATTCACCCTTTCCCCATCCGAGAGTACGTTTCACTTTCACGCGGACAGGCGGTAGGCGGAAGTGTATGTGACACCGAGGCTCGATCGGGAAAATCAAGATCTACTTTCGCTTTCGTTATCACAGAGAAGTTTGCCAGCGGACGCAACATTTGTGACATGCAGGTTGTGCAGTATAAACACTGTATCGCCGTGTGAATAAAATTTAATCAATACTCGGACTCGTCTATGTGCTAACACTTGTGGGAAGAAAAGAAAATACAAGCGTCGTATGATTTTTAGATTATCTGGCTCGCCATCGTGACCGGTCAGTGACCGTGTGAGCAAAGACCGTCTTAGGTGGGAGTAACGGCGTGGCGAAGTATAGGACTATGGAATAGGGGAGGGGATTATTGATTTAAAGATGCACTGCTGGGGGGGGGGGGGGGGGTGAACGCAACACCAGAGGACAAAAACTTTGAAGCAATTTCAGTATTTTGATTAGAGCTCTCTGCAAAGCGCGCGTTGGTGCAGGCAGTGTGCGGAATTGGGACCCGTCATACTTTGCAAGTCTGTGTTATTGAAATAAAGTGTTCGCGTTTCATTGGATGAGATAGGGGGTAGATCTAGTAAATTATAACTACAGTGTATGTTGTAGCTTTCTGTTCAAGACTGGCAGATTTTCAGTGTCACTTCATCTTGCCCTCCCACAGTTGTAACAACTCTCACACTGCGTAGGTCTACTTGAGCCACTCAAGTTATTGCTCTTCTCTGAGTGTGAGCAATAATTTTAGTCTGTCAGTTCATAACATGAATCATGACACCCAGACTGGTTCTTGATTGTCGAAATTCTTGTTCTAGGCCCTTCTGAACGCTCAAAGCAGGATTATTTTTTTATATAATGAGACGAAAATATTATAATAGACTGAAATACTTAAGTCAAACAAGACCCCAGTACGACACTGAACACTGACATGTTGTTGACTGGATACATGTTTTTGGTTTTTTTTGTACACGTGTGTGCTCCCTTTTTTGAGCTGGTGAGCTAGTAATTTTTTTTCAGGAAATATTGCTGGACACCCTGAACATTTTACTATTACTAGTTGGTCGGTTTACACATTTTCCCCTGAAAATATACATTTTTATATTTCCCAATAATTATTTCAGTTTTCTGTGGTTGGCATCTCTGTGAATTGCTCTTATTACAGTGGAACTCTGATTCAACTAGGTTGGCGGACCTGGCCTAAAATTTTAAATTTAGTTGAATCCTAGTGTCCTTTTTAGCAAACATGGGGTTATTGTGTAGATTATTATTACAGACACTGAGCAAGTATAAAGGGAAGTAACAAGTGGTGCCTGAAATGCCTGCATATTATGAGCTGTGCAAAAAAAGACAGATTAGTTCAAATGCACACCTGTGTCATCTCGATTGTTTGTCAAAAAGTTGTGTTGCTGTTTAGAACCTAGCATACAGCAACTTTTGATTCCATAGACCAGCCCACAATTCATTACATAGATCTACGTCAAGACTAGCTTATCGTTGTAATAACGATCATTGGGGGGGGGGGGGGGGTTGTATCCGCGACGTTCCACGGCTGGCGCGTGGGCGCCCTGGACACACAGTCACATGTGTGCCGGCCGCCCATCCTATCCCGACTCATTAGAGAAGACACATGTGCGTGTGTTTATATGAAAGGCCACTGATTGGTCGCATGCAGTCGGCTAAGTTAATAATGGTTCACAATGCAGGTGCAATGGATGGTTTCTTGCAGTTCTCAGTGCCAAGAAAGTACCGACCAAAGGTTTCGCCAGTACCGATCTGCTCTACTGCAGGGGCTGTTCACCCAGGAAGCGACCTCGTTGAATCCGAGCTTGCTGATTTAAATGTTTGTTGTATTTGGGGGTTTTTTAAATTGATTTTATAAACACTGAAACGAGGAATCCATCTCTTTTCGTTGAGTCCGAGTTCCACTGTATGTCTCTATAATCTTCATTTTTTTCTTCTTTTGGTTTCGATGTTTGTTCACCACTATCATGGCATTCAGAAACGTTGCGTGGTGATTCAGAAGTTGTAAAACAGGGTGTCCCAAAAGGTTTGAGCTGAAAATCGTATTGCACAGGATTTGACATTTTTGCTTCTTTCTTTTTTTTTACCCAAAGGAAATTGGCACACCGCGCCCCTTCTTTCTATTGTCTGCTTGTCAGTTATTCTTTTTCTTCCACAAGATGTCTTTTTTTGGGGTCTCTTGTTTTACAGTTTTATATTTTTGTTGTTTTCAGGCAGCACAAGAGACAGCTTTGCCAGATGACGAAGATGAAATTTAGACTGCAGCAATGATGGGGGACATTTTATTTGGTTTTTTAGAAACTTTTCATTCTCTACAGACATTGTTTTTTTTTTTTTTTTATAAACCTTGTACAGTAGCACTCATTGTCTTCAGTTGTATTGGTTAATAGAGACTGTTTTGCTCTTTGGTTTTAGTCTGTGAAATTGGAAGCTGGAAGCCTGTGAATGTTTGCTACAATATGTAGGTTTCCCATGTCTAGGACGAGAAACTGAGCAATATTTTGATGAACAACTCTTCTGTTAATGTCACTGTTTTTCTCCCCTTTGTTTGTGAATAACCAGTTGTTCCCTGGGGATGAGGGTGCAGCACTGTGCTATTTATTTTTACACTTTCTTTTGTGTCCATGTCCAGGGGAACTGCAGGGGACTGGCACGTTGATCACAGTGTGCTTCATTGTCATGGAGTGTGTGACAAAGAAGCACACTCAACTTTCTCAAGTATAGATTACTGCAGTACATTTTCTCACATGACCACTAGTGCATTGCTTTCTTACCACATCATCGGGGGTTGGGGACACTGCTTATCATGGATGCCGCTTGAGCGTCCTGACATTTCCAAAACATTTGATCAATCTGTCGATGTTGTACTCATGCCATTGAATAAACATTTGAAACTTTTACAGTTGTTGTTTAGTCATTTGCATTATATTGATCTAGGTGTTTGTTGGCTGGGCTGAATAAATAAGGCTGTCTCTTGTTTTTTTTTTGGGGGGGAGCCAAAAATCTTGTTTGTTGGTTGACATTGAATGGAACTTTCCTCTGTCGAACCAGTCATTTTATAACAGAATCCCTTATACAGTGGAATCCTGTTATAACGAGAGGGAGGGGACCGAAGCAAAATGTTCGTTATAGCAGGATTCTTGCTATAAGTATAAGGGATCCAGTAATAAATTCAAGGGAAACTGTAAAGTATGCCTAGTCTTTGAGTTTGGTGTTCTGTTTTCCCTTTTGCTATCTCCCCTGATGATGATTTTGTTTCAACATGACTTCTAGGTCTTACTTGATCAAAAATCGAATCGGGTTTGTTTCTCTAGCGCTAGATCTGGCAATGTAGACTGACAGCTCGGCGTTGGCGGTCAGAAAGAAAGGGCTCTGGGCTAACTCGCCTGCTGTGTTTCCCCCACCCCACCCCACCCTGTGGGGCATTCTGTCTGCTTGCGCACGTCACACAATCGCTCCATCCATCACATTGCTGTGACCTCCATCCCCGCATCGGAGAAGTGAGAGGCATGGCAGGCCTTGATAATCTAAACTGGCCTATCACGCGATGCGTTCTGCTTGTCTGTGAGTGACACACACACACACACACACCCCCCCTACTCAGTTGTTCCGGCCTTCATTGTTGACACACATGGGCTCTCCTGTTCTTGGTTTCGCAAGATCAGCAACAAGTTTCTCAACTGGCGAGGTCTTGCATTATGTATAATTGGCCTATGCCATGTGCACAGCAGCAGCAATATTCCGCTATTACCAACTCACAAGTGTGTCTGTTAGCGCTATAGCAGTACATGTATTTTGTTTACAAAGGTAAAGAGGAGAAAAAAACTGGGTTTTAGAATACAGTGGAATCCTGTTATAACGAGAGGGAGGGGACCGGTGCGAAATGTCTGTTATAGCAGGATTCTCGTAATTCCAGTAATAAATTCAAAGGAAATAATAAAGTAGGCCTGCTTGGCGATCAGAAAGAAGGGGCTCTGGCTCTAGGCTAACTCGCCCGCTGTGTTGTCCCCCACCCCACCACACCCTGTGGTGCGTTGCGTCTGCTCGCGTCATCACACATTCACTCCATCCATCACAGCATTGTGACCTCTCCATACCGCACGAGAGAAGTGAGAAGCACGCTCCTTTTTGCGTGGCGTGCAACACAAATCTCACAGTTCGGCACATCCTAATGGAATGTGTCGACTTTAATTATGTCCGTGATAAATATTTTAAATGTAAAGATATTAAAACCCTTTTTGACTTTATAGAGCCTAGAAGAATTTTAAGTTTTATAAAAGAAATTGGACTGTTTAATAGAATGTGAAAATATATAGTTGTCGGTGTATATATATACACATACACTGAAATTTGTATTGTATACAAATGTAAATAAGCCTTTTCCATTATATTTACAAAAAATGTTTATAAATGTTTGTTCGTCTTTTTAGCATAAATAGAAATAGTGTGATCGTTTGCGGTTGCGAGCTCCGAAAGACTGTTTATTAAAAACACGTCTGATTTTGTAGCGGTGAAACCTGATGGCGCTTAAATGACCAAAATTGTGTCGATAGTGCCGTAAAACATCTACCCAATCAATCAAATCAAAGCATCCCACACCCTCCCTCCTCAGTTGCTCCGACCTTCAATGTTGGTTCGTGTGGGCTCTCCCATTCTTTGTTTCGCTGGATCACCGACAACTTTCTCAACTGGCAAGGTTTTATAATAGATCTAATGTTTAATTGGTCTGTGCGCTGTGCACAGTACCTAATTAGTATTTCGTTAGGTAGACCCTGGGGTCCACCTTAATAAACCTAACTATTTCACTACGTTGACCCCGGGGTCCACCAATCCTTAATCAAACCTAGATCTACTGATTTCACTACGTTGACCCCGGGTCCACCCATCCTTATTAAACCAAGATCTACTTATAATTTCACTAAGTTGACCACGGGCTCCGCCAGTCCTACTATAAAATAAACTGAGATCTACTTATTTCACTATGTTGACCCCGGGGTCCACCGATCCTTAGTTAAACCTAGATCTACTTATTTCACTACGCTGACTCCGGGGTTCACATCCTAAAACCTAGCATTTTGTTCGGTAGACCCCGGGGTCCACCTATCCTTTTGGGGCTAGATAGACCCCGTGGTCCGCGCCTATCCACTTCCTTGATAATAACTGAAAAACATGCCAGTTGTCTTGAATAGAGAAGAAAAATGTTTTTAAAAAAGATAGTAAGGTAGACTATAATTTGTCCAAAAAATTGCAAGTTCAAGTGAAGATCATAAGATAATTTTGTTATTTTCTGGTCATCTTTTCACGGTTTATAAAATGTTCCACTTCCAGTGGGCCATCTACTAGATCTATGTCTCTGAAGAACATTTTGCTTGACTATTACTATTAGCTTTTTTCATGTACTTGAAAGCATAGAGAATATAATAGTTTCACAAATGTATGCACAATAACTTGAAAAAGAAAGATACGGTCATTGTTGTTGTTTTTTAACAGAATCCGTTTTACGTTGAGAAAAGCGCTAAAAACAAGTTAAACAATATTAAGAATGCCCATAATATTAGGAATCCGAAATTACTACCTTGATCTAGTTGGCTTACTCTTTAAGTTTAATAACCATGAGCTGTTTAAGAAAAAAAAGAGAATGATAGGATTTGTCTAAATATGACCATTAGTATTAGCACTATAGTATAAAGATATTGCCCATTTTGTCCAATTATCCTTGCATGTAAAATCACCCTGAACTGCACCTCAATAAGCACAAAAAAAGAATATTTCTGTGACTTTGTATAAATTATAAAGGTGTTTTGTAGTAGGTACCACAAGCGAAAAATTTTTGAACAATATTGACGTTTAAACCTCATGGGTTCAAATCTACTCTATGAAACAAGAACATTAAAAAAAGAATTATGAAAATCCATCAATAAACAATCGAGATATGGTATTTCAAAGTTTTATTTTTAAACGAAACCTTTTCAACTGCGACTTTCACCCATGTTTGAGGTGTTATAAAATACAAAGTGCATGGTCAAATCAATGAAAACTTTGTTTTTCCCAGAGCTGTCAACACAAATATTGATATCTCTAAATCAAAGCATGTTAGAATGACTGGTTTCCAAGATATAGGCCTTCAAAAATTGAGAAAAAAAATGCTAAAATTTGTCATTAAGAGCTCAGAACCCTATTTTAACCTCTTCCAAATTAGTCAAAATTGCCCCCTCATTAGTGAAAATCACACAATCATTACAAATACGTGCATAGACTTGGCTGAATTTTTTTCAGACCTCTCTGACCATAAGTAACTTTTCTGGACTCCTCTGAAGTGGGCTTCGGTGCAAAAAACGCCTCTTGGAAAAAAATTAGGGGAACTCTGGTAGGCCTACATCCTAGGACAAAAAGCATCACAACAAGTGAACAAATTAAGCTACAGGGCTAAATCATACATCAAATTAAAGCTCAATGCAAGCTCTACGGGGCCAAATAAAAATTGTTTACTAAAACCTCTCATAACACTCCATAATAGGGCCCTAATGCCCAAAAACCTGCCATTATTGAGTGAAAATTATAACGTCTGCCGACTGGAAAAAAATTCATATAAAATCAACAAATTGTGCTACAAGGTTGCATTATATATCAAATTAAAGCTCTTTTCGGGCTCTGTACAGTGAATTAGTTTATAGAAAGATAAAAAACCTTCCAAACATTTCAGAATATGGACAATGATGTGAAAAAAGTCATCAATATTGGTTCAGAAAATAAAGATTTCTGCTCAGGGGGTTTAAAAATTGGAATTATATCAACATACTGTTCTCTACCGAGGTTCATCTTGTAAAATATATATCTAGTTCTTAGATTTATTTATCATTTTAGCTGAGAAAGAAACCAGTGTCTGGGGAAACGAGAGGGAGGGGACCGGTGCGAAATGTCCGTTATAGCAGGATTCTCGTTACAAGGGATTCAATAATAAATTCAAGGGAAATGGTAAAGTAGGCCTAATCTATGAGTTTGGCGCTCTGTTTATTTCTTTTTGTATCTCCCCTGATGATGATTTGTTGAACATGATCTCTAGGTCTTACTTGATCAGTAATCACGTTTCTTTCTCTAGCACTAGCAATGTTGACAGCTCGGCGTTGGCGTTCAGAAAGAAGGGGGTCTGGCTCTAGGCTAACTCGCCCGCTGTGTTGTCCCCTTCCCCTGTGGTGCGTTGCGTGTGCTTGCGCACGTCACACATTCACTCAATCTATCACAGCATTGTGACTTCTCCATCCCGCACCAGAGAAGTGAGAGGCACGGTATGCCTAGATAATCTAGACTGGGCTGGCCTATCACGCGATGCGTTCTGCTTGTCTGCGCATGCCACTCACTCCCCACTCATTCGCTCCTGCCTTCATTGTTGATTCGCGTGGGCTCTCCCATTCTTAATTTCGCTGGATCACCAACAACTTTTTCAACTGGCAAGGTTTTATAATATGTAATTGGTCTGTGTGTTGTGCACAGCAGCAGCAATATTCCGTTAAAACCGACTCGCGTGACGGTCTGATGGCGCAATAGCAGTATATTATTTACAAAGATAAAGAAGGAGAAAAAACGGGGTTTTAGAATTGTGTCTTTATAACAGACTTCTCGTTGTTTCAGGACTCGTTATAAGTGGACTCCACTGTGGTGTTTTTTGCAGTTAACTGGCACCGAGCAAGTAATGTACAGTGGAACCATATATAACAGGCCCCGCAATAACAGGGATCCGGTAATAACAGGGATTTTTTAATCCCCGTTTTTTTCCTACTCTTTGTCTCTATTAAAAGTTATCGGCAATAACAGGGCCTCATCGGAGCCCAACCTGTTATAGCAGGGACAAAGGCTCGTTAACAATGTGTAAAAAGTAAGAGAGAGAGAGGACGACCGGT